CCCCCTCCTCAGCGGGCCTCGTTTTCTGCCTTGTTTCCTTCCCCTTCCTTGAAGCACTGGTCTCCTCGCGCCGTTTCTGGCGCGTCCCCCGCGTTTTCTCCGCGGGCCCGCCGGCCTAGCGCTTTTCCCCGCCTCCCGTTTCCAGCCTCCCCTTCACCACCATTCCTGACGCCTCCCCTCAGGCCCGCTCCTTTCTTCCCTCCTCCGGCCCGGCTTTAATTCGTCTCTCCTTTTCTGTTTCTTCCTCCGACTGCTTGCTGCCCGGCGACGTTTCCTCCGCCCGCAGAGACCCAAAGGTCAAGGAAACAAAGGTGAGCCCAGCTCCGCCGGTGGCCCGGGGTCGGGAGGGGGACGCCGAGCGGTGGGGGCGGGGTCTCCGGGAAGCGCCCCAGGGAGAGGACCTCTCGGAAGCCGCTGAGTTCGCAGGTGCTGCTCACTTTAAGCGTTTGACCCTTTCGGTGTGTTCTTGCAGCTGGCGGACAGCTTTTTAGCGAACAAGGAGTAATTCATTAAGGGTGGGGGTGGATTCGGGTTTGAAATGTCCCAGGTCCTTAGTTTCCTGTAGGTCTTAGAAGGCCTTTGTTTTTCATCCTCGTGGATCACACTCTGGAAGTACTCACATGAGATGGGGGAGGGGCGGCGGGAGGGGATTGAAATCTAGAGGAGCCAATAAAATGACCTTTTTAGATCCACTGGCTCTGGGGGGAAGGAGGCATTTTCATTTCAGCATTCACGCTTTTGTTCTCTTGAAATTAAAACTTTGTTCAGTAAGATTTTTCTCTGGTGAGGATACATGCGATTAATTGGTGGTGGTAAGGGGGAGGCTGTAGGCTTGAGACACTCCTGACTTGAATGTGCTTTTCTTTTCCCTTTAGTACAAAATGGATCTGTGCATCAAAAGGATGGATTAAATGATGATGATTTTGAACCGTACTTGAGCCCACAGGCAAGGCCCGTGAGTAGTTAACCATTTACATGCCTGATCAAAGGGTGTAGTATACCATCATTCTTTCTCTGCCCTATCAATAAAGCTCAATTTCAGGAGATAACTTTCTTAATACAGGTTATTTTGTTATAAAAACGGTTACTACAAGTTTATAGACAGATTCTGATGTCATCAACAAACACTATTTCTAGACTAGTATTGATAATATTTTACAGTGTAGGCACACTCTATTTGCCTAGTTGGTTCTTTTTACTGAAAATATAATAGCATACAATTTAAGAATATTTTCCGTGTTAAATGTTCTGAATTTTCATCTCCATTTTTTCTTTTAGAAATTGGATTCACATATGATGAAAAAACTAGTAGAGAGTAACCTGAACTTTATTCAGAGCTGTAGAACTGGGTGTCTTCTTTCTTCTGGTCACTAGCTAGTGGATTCCTACATTCTGAGAACTGTGAGGTATATCTTGAGTTGAACTAGAGAGACCAACTTTATATACTTCTGTCTAGAGAGACCAACTTTATATACTTCTGGCTTCCTGAAAGGAGCTATAGGGTTTATACAAAATGGTGTGAAAAGATCAACAATGATTGAGGTTTTGCAATGTGAAGATCGTCTATAGGTTCATAAAATAAAAAGTGTACGTGAAAATTTGTTTCAGCAGCCTTTTGTATTGACATGCTGGGTTCCCAAGACAGTTAGTTGTAACTAATAAATATATCTCCCTTGATTAATAAGCCAAAATGGAAAATGGATGGTAACTCATCCAAGATACTCTAAAAGATGAAGAACCTCATGAAGGGGTACTTATGTGAAGATAATGTATAACAGTCGTGAATAACTTGATATATTAATGCATGCCCATATTTGGACCTAATTCTTACATAAAACTCTTACATTACTTAAAATTTTCTGTATTTTAAGTATAGAAACCACTTAAGCAAATGATTGGAAGAAAGTTTTTGCAGAAGACAACCAGTTAATCAGGAAAAGTAGGGAAGGAAGTAGAGGAATGAACTATTAATAGGTTCCTGCTATTGAAGTAGTTTGCTTACATAATCATTATAACAGGGAGAGTGGGAGCATTTGGAAACATAATTCTAGGTAGTTCTTGTGAAACATTGTGTAATTCAGATTTTTGAGCTCAGGGGCATGTGGGAACCTGCCAGTTCAGGTGTAGGCATTCAGCTATATAATGGTGTAACCTGTGATATTGAATGTGTTTGTTTTTTCTTTCTTGAGTAAGCTCAAGCTTAAATGTCTAGTTAAGAAATTTTGAGGGAAATCTTGGTTGAATAGAGGAATAACTTGAGAATCTTTGTCCTTTGTAGTTTATAAAGTTATTTCATCTGCTTTTAAACCAGTTTTTTATGCCTTAAGTAGGTTTATTCTATATTGAAAGTAGACTAAATTTCTTTCACATAGTGATTTGGGTCTGTTACTATCTTAACACTATTTAATGAATAGACTTTGACTTAAATACATGTGAAAAGATGGCGCTATTTTTTTTTTTTTTGAGAAAATCTTTTAAAAGAAAAATTTTTAATTGGCAGAGAAAATATCACCATTTTATTGACCCATGTTAACTGAAATACTTAATCTTGATATGTTTTAGTGGCTAGGGAGAAGCTCTTGTTTGCTTTGGTAATACAAACTTAATGGCTTTCCAAGTGTCTCAAGAACAAAACTACCTATTGACTGGTTAATGGATGTATAGTTAACCAGTATATAGACCAGAGCTACTTAGAACGAGGGCAAAATCTCTTGATTTCCAGTTGAGCTGTGTCTCTATACCTAGAGATCAACTTGTATGTATCTGACTCCATTTAAGGGATTCTTTTGTGAGTGATAGGATTTATTAAAAAAAAAATGTTAAAGTGCTAATCTACATAAATTAAAGTTAGTCAAGAATGAGGATTTTGCTCTGTAACCTTCAGTGTGTGCAGTGCTAAATGTGAAGACTATTTACATTGTTTAAATTTATATTCCTGGCTATTTTTTAATGATTCCTTTTTTTTTTAAGAATGATTCTTTTTTTTTTTAAAGGTGTAGACTATCAAATCATACTCCTGCTTTTAATGGAAAGATTAGGTGTGAGTTTCCCTTACAGTCATTTTATAGGTGAAGTAAAAACAGTTAGCAATCTTTTTCTAGTTTTAAATTCTCTGGAAACCACTGTTTCCTTTCTAAGTTTTATTTAAATAGTGGCAGCTATTTGTTCTCAGGTGATTTGCCAAGAGGCCTAAAGCTGTAAACTAGATGAAATGGACTTTACATTTTGATACATGGATGAGGGATTACTGCACAGATTTTTGGGATAGAATTTCAAATAACCCTCCCCCCCATGGTTCTTTTATAGTATGGTTTCAATAGGAAATTCCTTTAGATACTGTTTAAGTTATAGGACACTTTGAACCTCTGTTCTGTCAAAACTCTTTCTTTCTTTCTTTTTTTTTTACTCATCTTTTTAATCCAGAGATTGGGGTTTTAGTAACAATATCACCTCAACACTTTCATAAAGCAAGATTTAATCTGTTGGTGAGGTACTGGTTTGCTCTTTTCTGAATTGAAGTGCTAAAGTTAAGGCCCATGTTCATTATATGTTTGTAAACATTTCAGTGATTAAGAAAAAAAATCTTACATTATGAAAATACCAGTTTTATGGGAAGGACCATCTTAAATGGTCCTTAAATGGTCCAATTTTTATGATAATGACTGAAATATTTTCAGTTGTGAATAAGTGGAAGAGGAAATGTCTTAATTGCTTTACTTATTTTTGTGTTTAAATACTGATTTATTTGCTTTTTTTCCTTCCACAGAATAATGCATATACTGCCATGTCAGATTCCTATTTACCCAGTTACTACAGTCCTTCCATTGGCTTCTCCTATTCTTTGGGTGAAGCTGCTTGGTCTACTGGGGGCGACACAGCCATGCCCTATCTAACTTCTTATGGACAGCTGAGCAACGGAGAGCCTCACTTTCTACCAGATGCAATGTTTGGACAACCAGGAGCCCTAGGTAGCACTCCATTTCTTGGCCAGCATGGTTTTAATTTCTTTCCCAGTGGGATTGACTTCTCAGCTTGGGGAAATAACAGTTCTCAGGGACAGTCTACTCAGAGCTCTGGATATAGTAGCAATTATGCTTATGCACCTAGCTCCTTAGGTGGAGCCATGATTGATGGACAGTCAGCTTTTGCCAGTGAGACTCTCAATAAGGCTCCTGGCATGAATACTATAGACCAAGGGATGGCAGCATTGAAGTTGGGTAGCACTGAAGTTGCAAGCAATGTTCCAAAAGTTGTAGGCTCTGCTGTTGGTAGTGGGTCCATTACTAGTAACATCGTCGCTTCCAATAGTTTGCCTCCAGCTACCATTGCTCCTCCGAAACCAGCATCTTGGGCTGATATTGCTAGCAAGCCTGCAAAACAGCAACCTAAGTTGAAGACCAAGAATGGGATTGCAGGGTCAAGTCTTCCGCCACCCCCAATAAAGCATAACATGGATATTGGAACTTGGGATAACAAGGGTCCTGTGGCAAAAGCTCCCTCACAGGCTTTGGTTCAGAATATAGGTCAGCAGCCAACCCAGGGGTCTCCCCAGCCTGTAGGTCAGCAGGCTAACAATAGCCCACCAGTGGCTCAGGCATCTGTAGGGCAACAAACACAACCATTGCCCCCACCTCCACCACAGCCTACCCAGCTTTCAGTCCAGCAACAGGCAGCTCAGCCAACCCGCTGGGTAGCACCTCGGAACCGTGGCAGTGGGTTCGGTCATAATGGGGTGGATGGTAATGGAGTAGGACAGTCTCAAGCGGGATCTGGATCTACTCCTTCAGAACCTCACCCTGTATTGGAGAAGCTGCGGTCCATTAATAACTATAACCCCAAGGATTTTGATTGGAATCTGAAACATGGCCGGGTTTTCATCATTAAGAGCTACTCTGAGGACGATATCCACCGTTCCATTAAGTATAATATCTGGTGCAGCACAGAGCATGGTAACAAGAGACTGGATGCTGCTTACCGCTCCATGAACGGGAAAGGCCCCGTTTACTTACTTTTCAGTGTCAACGGCAGTGGACACTTCTGTGGCGTTGCAGAAATGAAATCTGCTGTGGACTACAACACATGTGCAGGTGTGTGGTCCCAGGACAAATGGAAGGGTCGTTTTGATGTCAGGTGGATTTTTGTGAAGGACGTTCCCAATAGCCAACTGCGACACATTCGCCTAGAGAACAACGAGAATAAACCAGTGACCAACTCCAGGGACACTCAGGAGGTGCCTCTGGAAAAGGCTAAGCAGGTGTTGAAAATCATAGCCAGCTACAAGCACACCACTTCCATTTTTGATGACTTCTCACACTATGAGAAACGCCAAGAGGAAGAAGAAAGTGTTAAAAAGGTAACCAGCTTACCATTCTTAAGACTTTTAGGGAAGAACAAGGAACTAGAGAGAACAGGAGAGGTATTATACTAAACCATAAATAAAAGCTCGTGGTGTTCAAACCTTTATGGAAGTATAATTGGTCTTACTATTTGAACCTTAGTGTGAAGGGTAATGGACATGTGGGCTTAAAAGAAAGCAGAAACTACATAAGGAAAATGAATTTTCCATGATGCCGAAAGAGGTGAAGAATGAGTTGAAATAAATTTGTACAGGGATGATAGAAATGATAGAACCATGGAAGTTAAAGAGGGAATGTTAAGACTATAATAGGGCATAGAAAAAGGTGGGGTGCTGTTTTTTTCAAGAGTTTAATAAGTTACCAAGCCCTGAAATGGTTTTTCTGCCTGCCTTCTTAGAACTGGTAGTGTTAGAAGGATGTTTTTCAGAACTTTTTTTCCTAGCTCCTATCTTACATGGTGTTTTGCTTTTCTCCAAGACTTTTTTTCTCGATAGAACAGTCAGTATTGTACATAATGTAACAACAAAAACGCAGAAAAAGGGTGACCACTTTTAACATTTTTGTATTTTCTGAAGACTAACTTACAATTTTATCTGTAACAGTTGGGAATCTTGGGAAGAATGATGGAGGATAGGTTCAAATTAAAGAGTTGAGTTTATTTTAAAGAGTTGGTAATTCTTAGTCTTTATTGAGAGAATGTAAATTTTTAGCACCATAAGAGAAAGAAAATGCCGATGATTGGGGTGGATTGTCATATATTATCCAGGACTCAGGCATTATTAAATGTAGTATGGTGGAAAAAGTAAGGAGAAGTTTTCTCTTACGAGATCTACATGTTAATGGTTGGGAGAAACCTGAGTAATTATCCTTCAATATAAAGCAAACAGTAAGATTATATATATGTATTTTCCTTAACTTTGTCATGCGTTCAGTGGGATTTACATTTGGTCTAGGTATCTGAGACACCTGTTAGGTTGGTATAAAAACATTCTTTTAGTGGTGTGAGGAGGGCTCTTTGATAGATTCTCCCTCCATAACACAAAGTCAGGTGCCCAGTTTAAGTAAAGCAGGATGGTTGCCATCTTCTAGGGTGTGCAGATGAATGAGAAGCAGTGATGTACTTGCCAGTGATGTTAAAGCAACAGGAATATAGAGCCAGAATACTGAGAAATTGAAAGTCAGGCAAAACATAGCAAATTTAGTCTTTTAAACCCCTCTCTGAAGTTTAATAGTTTAACAAGAAATCTGTCATAAATCTTGTAGAAAAAAGGTAGTTTACTATTTTTTGCCAGATAGCTGAAAGACTGAATGTTCACAGAGGCTTCTGTTTCTAGAGGAACAAAAAGCCTGACCTTGTAAGCATTGCATAGTGGCATAGCAGGTTATTAACTTGCATGATGGGCACTTTGGTTTAACTACTTGAAACATCCTTAAAATCTATTCTGTATTATAAATCTGCTTTCTTCCAATTGCAAAATGCTCTCACATCGTGTGATTAAAAGCAGAAAGGCAGAGATAGGAATATTTTTAGGAATGTATAGTGTAAGGTGCTGAGATAAACTTGAATGTATAAGAATTATTGTGGAACCTTGGATTTAAAAACGAAGTAGCAAATTTGAGGACTTAATTTATGTAAAGGTCTAATCAAGTATATATATCTATATCTATTAAATTCACAAGTCATTTGGTGAACTTCTGGAATAGATGAGTCATTTGTTGGACTTGACTAGCCTTGTGATGTTTTCGTAGTGAGGTCTTGATTAGTGACTGGTTCTTTGGTAAAACCAATCCATAAAGATTTGATGATTGAATATCCCAGTTATTCTCAGGCTAGTAAACAAGCATCAAAAATAAATAAAGCTTCAGTTATTCTTGTCATTACTTTTTATTTTATCCACTGACGTTTTTAGAAAAATTTCCTGTGGTTGCTTCTAAATTCAGTTAGCACTGCAGTCAGTCTTATTCCTGTTGCCCACTGTTAACTCTTAACATCCTTACACAATTGACTGTAAACCGTTTTCTAGTCTTTATTGGTCTCCCAAGATAAATCAAGATTCATGAAGAATGGGACTGATACTTAAGTGAGCAGTAGATTCCTTAGATGGGGTGTTTGTGTGCCTTTGTATTTATAAGATTGTAGAAAATCTTCCTGCCAAATGGGAATACTTTAAACTTCGTTCAGAAAATTATGTTGTAAAATTTTTTTAAAAGATTATATTTATACAGAGGTGGTGGTGGGGGTGGGGTGGGGTGGGTGAGAGGATTCACCATAGACAGAAGTTGTGAGAACAGGCCAATTGACTGTAATACCCTGCTGAGGGGAGCAGCAGGCTAGATAGTTTGCTGCCCCCTGTGGGTCAGCTCCCTGGCTTAGGATCCAACTTTTGCTGCAGTGACTGGATATCTCCATAATGCTGGGCTTTAACAAACCATTTTGCCACCAGGGAGGGCCCAGAACTTCTAGAGTTTTGTGATTTGACATATTGGCAGAACAAACTGAAGGAGAATAGCAAGCCATGTTTGCCTGGTATTTTTACTGATTCATTTTGCCACAGGAGCAATTTTATATCTTAGATCTTTAAGCTGTGAAGTTTTGCCACAGGATTAATTTACTATCTTAGAACTGTCAGGCTGAGAAAAAAAGCAAATCACCCATGTGTGGTTTATTTTATATCTCAAGTACTATTGTGTAATCTGCTTTCTGCATTTTAGAACCTTTCCTTAATTGTTACGCATTCTTCTGTGACATCACTTTTGATGACTTCGTAGTGTTGTCATAGATACTAATTTACCAGTCCCTTAATTGTTGAACATGTCAGTTTCTTAATACTTAACCCCCCCCCCCTTCAGGTAAAGTAATACTGCAGTAAACTTTTTTTTCCCCAAAAGATTTATTTTTGCATACAAGAACTGGGGTACAGGCCAGAGGTGTGGGGTGGTGAAGAGGATTCACCAGAGACAGAGCAGGGAGCAGAAGAGCCAGATCAGCTGAAATACACTGCTGAGGGGCTGCGGTGAGATGGTAGAGATCTGTTGCACCATGTAGGTCTCTTCCCTGGCTGGGGATATTGAACTCTGCTGCAGTGGCTGCCAGTAGTTTCATTGTGCTGTGCTGTAAACAAATCCTTGTGCCCCAGGGAGTCCACTGTAGTGAGCATTTTTTTAATATGTATTGATTCACTTCTATCCTTTATTTTATTACTGGATCAAAAGATATATATTTTACAAGGTTTTGGCTTTGCTGCATAATTGCATATGAGCCTATTTCTTTCCTAGTAATTTTTGATTGAAGTTACTTAACTTCAGCCATTCTGAAGAAGTAAGTTAACTTTTCCCTTTGTCTCAACTTTGGAGTAGTCTGGCATGGAAAGATAATTCCTTACAAGCCTCACAAAATGATTGAATTCTTGTCTTATATTGCTAGTTTTTTAACTATAGGTGAAAATAAGAGTAGAGAGAATTGAGGACTGCATTATTCTTTTAAGAGCCTGACCTATTGTTAAACTCTAATCAAGCGTTTGAGTAAATTATATTTCTGGGAAACTGAGAATGGGGTGAGGGTCATGTAGAGAAGATGTGATTATAGTTATGCTAGGTTCAAGCTTGTATTCATTAGAATTTCCTTGCCATTGAGAATGGAAAGTTTTCTTAAATATTTGTAGAATTTTGCCTGTTTAAAAGCAAAACTGAAATTACTGGTTTTTCTTTTTTTTCTTCCTATGCCCCTGTAACTACTGTTCTAAGAATTAAGATGGGGTCTCCTTGGTGGTGCAAGTGGTTAGTGCACTACAAAACTGTCCACAGCCACTACAGCACCGAATTTGATCCCTGGCCAGGGAGGTGACTTATATGGCACAGCAGCCCCCTCCTGTCTCACCTGCTGCTCCCATCAGCAGTGTATTTCAGTCAGTCTGCCTATTCTGTCTCTGAATCCTCCCCATCCCCTGTGGCCTGTATACCAGTTCTTGTATGCATAAATAAATTTTAAAAAATTAAGATGAAGTTGTTTATATTTTCATTGTACAACTTTAGAAACTCAGAGAATGTATTTCATTCCTGAGAAACTCAGAAATATATTTTCAGGGAAACTTGAACGTTAGTGACAGATAACAGTACAAACTAGGAAGTGTTTTTTCCAAGGTATGCACAAGGTGCTAATTTGGATGCTTAAAGATTGCCTAAACCAGCCTTCAGTGTGGGTGGATTGATCATAGAAGAACTATGGAAGAAGTAATTGCTGAGCCTTGAAAGATACAGAAAAGATAGCTGGAGGTGTTTTGGGAAGAGTGAATGTGGTACCTTATAGATCATAACTTGGAATAGGAATTTGCCTATATAGCTCTAATTGATGTGTGATTGGATTTCCCCAAAGGGATATTTGGCCATTAGATTAGGAAAAGGAAGTTGAATGAAATATTCATGCAATTAGTTTGATATAGGAGTCTACTTAGACAGGTATAGAGTTGACTTAAATGTGTGTTTAGTTTTAGAAGGTCAAGGAGTAAGATCTTTACTTGGAAAGCAATGGGTTACTTATGGAAGAGATGAAGCAATCTCACTTCATGCTGTGCTGTATTGTGTAAAACATTTAGTTTGTAAGAGATGATCTCAGAGGGGTATGCATTATAGGAAAATAGATGATTTTGCAGAATACATGATAGATGAAATATTTTTAACATTCTAGTAGGTTTATTCTCTGTCAAAAGATAGCTCTATAGCTAGTGGATGGAGGTTATAGGGAAAAGATATTTTGTAAGCAAAAGGGAGAACTTCCTAAAAATGGAATTATTACAGGAAAGTTTCAAGAAGAGACTAAAAGAACATATATGTGTGTGTGTGTTCTTTTAAATATATATATACACACACATATATATATACATATATATATATGTGTGTATATATATATATATATAACTGAAAGGATTCTTATGGGGTAGTCTAGACCAGAGAAACCAAACATCAGCTCAGGTTAGTTGGTGTGGAATAATAGCTGATA